CATACACATAAAATAAAAATAGAATTTTTTTTAAAAATGAAAACAAAAGGTACCACTCTAGTTGTCAAAAGAAACTTCATTAACACATTATTAAGTTTGTGTCATTTGCCTCTTTTTTCTCCTATAGGTGGTAGTGGGCCCAGATATCATGCTGCCTGAGGGCTCGGTGATCTCTTTGCACCCTCCAGATGCAGAAGAAGATGAAGATGATGGCCAGTTCAGTGATGATTCTGGGGATGACCAAGAGAAAGAGAAAGTGAAGCTGAAAGGTGTGAGGCTTAACAGGTGTGGGGCATCTGTGCATCTCTGCCCCAAAGAAAAGCCTTATTTCGTTTCAGAGAGATTGATCCTTCTGGTTGGCCTTTTGAAAAGAGCAATGTCTTTTCCAGGTTACAATCCAGCAGAAGTAGGAGTTGCAGGCCAGGGTTACCTCTGGAAAGCTGCACACATGGACATGAAGGAAGAAGAGCTACAACAGAGTTTGTGGGGTGAGCATGTGCCTGCTGGCTTTCTACTTAATCTGAATATTTTGAAGAATGATGAATACCATGGAATCAGATTACTTACTTGATCTTCTTTTTTTATTTTACTTTATGGGTATGAGTGTTATGCCTACATGTGTATAAGTGCACCCATACCATGCAATTCCCATGGAGGTCAGAAGAGGGCACTGGATCCCCTGAAACTGGAGTTAGGGGCATTGTTAGCCACCATGTGTGTGCTAGGATTTGAACCTGGGTCTTTTGCAAGAGCAGCCAGTGCTTTTAACTGCCATCTCTCTAGCCCCTGGATCCTCTTTTCATTTTGACAGGACACATATCTGTCTGTTAGTGGCTCATCCCTCCCCACCCCTCCTTTTTTGAAAGATAGACAGGCTTTCTTATAATCCAGGCTTGAGCTTGCTCTGTAGCCAAGAATGACCTTGAGCTTCCTGATCTTCCTGCCTCTGCTGCCTGAGTGCTAGTAGTACAGTCATGCACACCATGACTGGTTTTTATGTGCTGCTAGGAATGAAATCCAGGGCTTTGGACATGCTAGGCAAGTATGCTGCCAGCTGAGCTGCATCCCCAGGCCCTCCTTTCTTTGTTGTTACCCTTTTTTGTCTACTCAGGACTCACAATCAACATGGAAGAAGAGAGTGAGACTGAAAGTGAGCGAAGTATGGATTCCGAGGAGTTGGACAGCCGAGCAGGCTCCCCTCAGTTGGATGATATCAAAGGTTAGTGGCCAGGAAAGCAGAGATGTGAACAGAAGGGGAAAGCTTCCAGTTTATTCTTTACCTTCATCAGCTAGCCAAAGGCTCATGTTCTTCCCAGAAAGGCTTTGATATAGTCAGAACTAGATGACTTAAAGCAGGGCATTCCAGATTGATGTTGGTCTATGGATTTGTTCTTTCTTTTCAGTATTCCAGAATGAAGTCCTGGGCACACTCCAGCGAGGCAAAGAGGAGAATATTTCTTGTGACAATCTAGTCCTGGAGATCAACTCTCTCAAGTAAGAGCAGTCCCTCCCTATTTTCTTTTCTGGGCTGCTCTCCCAGCTACCCAAGTAGGGGACCAAATAGAAGGCTGACAGTGTTTGGAACATTAGCATTAGCATATATCTTCCACATAGCTTTCCCTTCCATGTTGTTTCATCTGACTGCCAATGTGCTATCAAAGTCCTAATCGTATAGCTGAAAGAGGCATTGAACTCCTGGTGCCGTGCTGTATTAGTTACTTTTTTTTGGAAGAGGGTTTCCCTGAGCTCCAGCTGGCCTAGAACTTACTATGTACACCAGGCTGGCCTTAAACTCAGAGAGCGAGAGATCCTCGCAAGTACCGGGATTAAAAGCATGCTCCACCACCCCAGCTTACTTTTTTTGCTTTGACAAAATACTTGAAAAAAGCAACTTTAGGAAGAAGTGTTGATTTTGGCTCACAGTTTGAGGATACAGTCCATCATGGAGGGAAGTCATGGCAACAGGAGCTTGAAGCAGCTGGGCACAGTGCATCAGTAGTGAGGCAGCAGAGAGATGAATGCTAGTGTTCAGCTCAGGACCCCAGCCCATAGAATAGTGCTGTCCACACTTAGGATGGGCCTTCTCACCTCAACCCAGTTTAGAAACTCCATCTCACACATGCCGAGAGGTTTGTCTCCTAGGTGATTCTAGAACCTGTTAAAGTTGACAATATTAACTATCACACATGCTAATCTCCCCACAGGTATGCCTACAACATTAGTCTAAAGGAAGTGATGCAGGTACTCAGCCATGTGGTCCTGGAGTTCCCCCTGCAACAGATGGATTCCCTACTTGATCCAAACCGCTATTGTGCCACACTACTTCCTGTAAGCAAAGATTGGGGCTGGGTATAAGGAATTAAGTGTGGCAGATTTTCATCCTTGCTGTGCTTGATTTAAAGGGAAATTAGGAGTAGATGGACTTATGGGGTATTTGTTGCTTCTGGTTCCATTCGCTGCCTCTGGAAAGTGGTTGGGTTCTAGAGCAGCACTGGCTGATCTGGAGGAATCAAGTTATGTTTAATACCAAATGGTCTTTGGGACTCGCAGATTCAAAGCATACCAGGCCCCCAAAGAGACACAGAAATAGGTTTGGACACCAGGCATTCTGACATAGTTCCATAGTCCCAGCTACTCAGAGAAGTTGAGGCAGAAGGATCACTGGAACCCTGGAGTTTAGGACCAGCCCTGAGTAATACTGCAGATCTTATCTCTAAAAATAAAGTCTATAGCTGGGCGTGGTGGTTCACGCCTTTAATCTCTTGAGCTCAAGGCCAGCCTGGTCTACGTAGTGAGTTCCAGGTCAGCTGGGGCTACAGAGAGACCCTGTCTCAAAAAAAAAAATCTGTAAGACATAAAGAATAGGGGCTGGAGAGATGGTTCAGTGGTTCAGAACACTGACTGTTCTTGCAGAAGACCCGGGTTCAAATCCCAGCACCCACGTGGCAGCTAACAACTGTCCATAACTGCAGTTTCAGGGGATCCGACAGCCTCTTCTGTCCTCTGCAGGTATTGCATGAGACAGGTGCATTTATCTACATGCAGGCAATATACTCATATACATAAAATAAAAATAATATTAAAAAAAAAAAGAATAGACCTGGTCTTTCAAACCCCGTAAAAATGATCTGGCCTAGAATAATATTAACCTCTAGGCTGGGAATAGATATTTTGAGGCATTCAACAGCATCTGACCCCCTTTCACCTTCCCTAAGAAATTTCATCTTTTCCCCTATTCTCTATGTGCCGTTCCTCTGACATGATTCCTTAGAACCTTGTCCTCTGTAATGAAAACCAATCTTGTGGTACAGGAATATGCTCAGAAATATATTATAGTTCCAATCTCTTTTCCATAGCTGCTCAAAGCCTGGAGCCCTGTTTTTAGAAACTACATAAAGCGCGTAGCTGACCATCTGGAGGCATTGGCAGCCATTGAGGACTTCTTCTTGGAGCATGAAGCTCTTGTTGCTTCCATGACCAAGGTGAACTACCACCTCAAGCTTCATGTCCTGTATTTGCTTTGATGCAGACCTTCATGACCTCCATGGAGACACAAAATTGAGGCTAACATGAACCTCATGGAGTTTGTTCACAGCACCATCTGTCCCTAGAATCATGCTTATTGCTAGCATAATGCAGCATTAAGCCAGGCTGGTACTAACAAGGCAGCCACTGAGGTTGGCCTAAGGGTTCACTAACCAGCAGTAGTTCATAAAACTATACCTGTCTACCAAAATGAATAGCTCATGCTTCTCTTTTCCTTTTTTTTCCCTCGGGGGCAGGGTGGGGAGTTGGCTTGCTTCCTCACTCTCTTCCTGTCTGTCTCTGTCTCTGTCTCTCTCTTTCTCAGCCCATATTGGTCTCATACTTACTATGTAGTTGAGGATGACTTTAAATTCCTGATCCTTCTGCCTCTACCTCCCAAATTCTGGGATTCTAAGCATGCACCACCACAACAAGCTCTCTTGTCTGTTCTGAAGAGAATACTTGGTGTGTGAAAGGAAGCTGAGGGCCGGGTAGAGGTGCTAAGGTCCTCCTCTCCTCTCCAGTTTTATCCCTTTTATACCATTTTATCTTGCTGGACCCACAGGGCCCCTGAGATTCCTCTTTGCTGGCCTTCTTTAGGTACTGATGGCTTTCTATCAGCTGGAAATCTTGGCTGAGGAAACAATCTTGAGCTGGTTCGGCCAGAGGGACATAACTGACAAAGGTCAGCAATTACGCAAGAATCAACAGGTGAGTGAGGCCTCTCTCTTCTCACTAAGTTCCCTGATCCCCCACCCTAGATTCCAGGGACTTTGTGGTTAGAGCTGTTTATCTACTAAGGAGAACAGGAGGATGTTTCTCTACTAAGGAGAACATGTTTCTCCCCCAGTAGCTCTCCCCTCTGTTTCATTACAGCTGCAGAGGTTCATCCAGTGGCTGAAAGAGGCTGAAGAAGAGTCATCTGAAGATGACTGATGTCATACTGCCTACTCCATGGTGTGATTGGTTGCCCTCCTAACTGCTAGGGCAATGCAAATAGGGAGCTAGCTATAGAAGGATGAATGGCCACTGCACAGACTGACTTAAAGGAACAGAAGCTGGAACTACAGTATTTTTCCCACTGCCAGCAACTGTGCCTCCCATCCTGGCTGAAGTTGGAATGAGGAAAGTTGGGCTGCAACAAAACTCTTGCCTAGAGAAAATCTAGGCAGGCCCTGCAGGTGGAGGTAGGCCAGAGGAACAGCTTTACGCTCCAGCTTTCCCTCAGAGAACAGCAAAGAGCAGCTGGCCCTCTCTATTGTTGGTTAATGTTTAAAAAAGGGGTATATTTGGTGTCTCTCCAACTCTGACTGATCAGTCAGTAAACTGTATGACCAGAGTTCTGAATCTCTAACATGGCTGCCTTTAGCTAACACCTGGGGAAGGTGGTTGAGGGAGAGGGGTTGTTGTGGCTGCAAGGTGGTGCTGTGGTACCTGATTAATTGACCATTCCTCAGGCTCAGGAGAGGTGTCACAGCTCTGAGAAGCCATGTAACTAGTCACTCAGAGAGCCAGAATTTGATATTGAACCTAAAACTGGAGTTTGTTACTTTGCTGGATGTCTCTCTTAACCTCAACTCTGTTTCCTTTGTGAGCTCTTTGCTGTCTTCATATAGAGTGAGTCAGTAACCTCTGTTGACAGTAATTGTGGTAACAAAGGAGCTCCCCTATGTCCTAGACACCACAGACAATGGATGTCTTTCTTCATTTCAGTTGGGTAGTAAGGAAAACCTAAGGAAAAGCTTGCTGAACGCTGCTTGTGGGTACAAAGGCATTTCTGAAAAAAAAATCCAAGTATGGTGGTGCACACCTGTAGTGCTAGTACCTGGGAATGGAGGCAAGAGGTTCAAGAGGCCAGCATGAACTATTTGAGACCCTGTAGCTAAAATTCCTTCTGGAAGGGGCCAGAGAAATGGCTCAGTGGTTAAGAACACTGGTTGTTCTCGCAGAAGACCCAGGTTTGAATCCCAGCACCCACATGGCAGCTAACAACTATCCATAACAACTGTCCCAGGAGATCTGATAGCCTTTTCTGTCCTCTGAGGGCATTGCACGACATGGGTGCACTTAACCTACATGCAGGCAATACGCACATACACATAAAAAAATAAAATATTAACAAAAAATTCTTTCTGGAAGATACAACATCCAGCCCCCTCTTCCCTTGTTCTCTACAATAAACCGAGGTACAATTTCACCAAACTACAGTCTGAGAAACCAGTGAGTTTATTGGGCTTAGTTACAGAGAGTTTACTTTCAAGAGTGTGGTTGCTCCTCCTAAGGCTGCACTGGAAAGTCTCCTTTCAGGCATGGATGGTGACTGCTCCACAGCCGTGCAAAATGGTGAGAGAGTCCCCCTATTGCTTCCTCAGCTTACATATCTTTAGCCCCTCACTCTTCTGCAGCTAAGGCTGACTAGTTGGTTGGGAACTGTGGCTGACTCTCCTTGCCACTCCTTTCTTGCAGAGAGTAACTGTAAACAAGTTTGTTTGGCTGTGATGATCCTAGGCAAGCAGGTGCAACCAAGCTTGTGAAGAAGGCAGCAGTCCATAGTCTGCTGGTTGGAGGACAGTCCTATACAATAGATCTGTCCAGAGCCAGGCATGGTGGTGCATGCCTTTAGTCTCAGCACTTGGGAGGCAGAAGCAGGCAGATCTCTTGAGTTCAAGGCCAGTCTGGTCTACATAGTGAGTTCCAGTCAGGACAGCTGTGACTACAGGGAGACCCTGTCTCAAAAAGATGTGAAAAGAAAAAAAAGAAAAAAAAAAACAAAAAACAATAGATGCTGTCCTAAAAAATTTTTTTTAATTTTAAAAATTCAAAAAACAGGTTGGATCGGGAGTAGCATGATTTATTTGATTTACTTTAGTTTCAGTCTTACCAGGTACAGGACTAGTGCTTAGAGAGCATAGGACAATGATAATTTTACCTAATAGTATAATTGAATAAGCAACTATGAGGCACCTCTGATCTGTCCCAAATTAGTAACACAGATCAGAAATGACAACATTTTAGTAAGGAGGGGTAAATAGGGAAGGCTTTACCACATTGTCAAGCAAAGGTGGCTTACAAAATAAGAAAGGTTAGGAGAGCACACAAAAAACAAAGAATTTCCAATTAAATTTGGAAAATTAAACAGATAAGCTTTTTTTTGCTCCTTCCAAAAACCAGTTAGACTGCCACCTGGGCAAGGTGCCTCACGCCTTTAATCCCAGCGCTCTGAGGCAGAGGCAGGTGGATCTCTGTGAGTTCAAGGCCAGCCTGGTCTACATAGCAAGTTCCAGGCCAGCTGGGGCTACAGGGAGACCCTGTCTCAAAAAGAACAAACAAAAAGAAACCATATTAGACTGCCATAAAGGAGTTCTTTTGAAAAGGCAGGTGAGCCCATAAAGAAAACTGGAGATAACAATGAGAGATGTCAGTGTTTAGAAAAATTAAAAATGGAATAATAAAAGGTGGCTTAGAATAGTTGGGTTCAATTTGCTAGAGGAGAGTGTTATTAACAAGCAGCAAGCCATTGTGGCTTTTAGAACCAGTAGATGTGTAGCACCTCAGACGAAGGTAAGGACTGGGTCTTAGAACTGGAGATGCAGTGAGAGGAGATCTCACAAAGATCCTTTCCTGAAAAAGCTCCTACACACAAATACCATTGATACATGTAGGATCCAGCCAGTTGATTATCTTTCTCTGCAAGAAATGGGCAATTTAGTCTTTGGAGAAATGGTAGGGAGGAAATCACCAAAGAAATACTTTCAAGAAGTCATGAGAAGCCAGGCGTGGTGGCACATGCCTTAATTCCAGCATTCAGGAGGTAGAGGCAGTCATATCTCTGTGAGTTTGAGGCCACCCTGGTCTACATAGCTCCAGGCCAGCTGGAGCTACAGGGAGACCCTGTCTCATAGAGACCAAAAAAGAAAAGTCATGAGAAACCAGGCATGGAGCGGGCCTATAATCCCAGCATTTTTTTTTTTTTTTTTTTTTGGAGACAAAGTCCTTATAGCCCCAGCTGGCCTGGAACTCCCTATGTAAACCAGACTGCTGCCTCTGCCTCCTGAGTGCTGGGATTAGAGGCATGTGCCACCACTCCTGGCTAATTCCAGCACTTGGAAGGTGGAGGCAGAGAAATCAGGAGTACTTAGCTATACAGCCAGTTTGAGAGCACCTGAGATTATGTGCCACCCTATCTCAAAAAGTTACAAGTTTCCAGATTGACAGACCCCATGGGTTCCCAGCATAATGAAAGTCTCATGAAATACCAAGTTGTCAAGAACAACTTAAACAGTCATAGCCTCTGAACTCAGTCCCAAATGAAATGGGGACAGTGATGGGCTATTAAGTTAAATGTGAAGACTTATATGAAAGTATGTGTGTGGTAAGAACAGTACATCCATACACATTGATTGACTTGAACCCCCAGGCCAAAACAATAGCTTAAAAAAGTGGCCTAGGAATGTTAACATTTTTTTTTTCTCCTTGATTATCCCCCCCAAGAAACTTTCCCACCACTTTACTACCCTACAGTGAAACTTAGTCATTAGTAAATCTTGTACATAGAGCTTCCAATAGTATTTTAGTTACTTAAATGTGAGTAGAAGCCAAGTTCCAAATATTTGAAGAATCTTCCAACATAAAAGGCAGAGAAAAAAAAATGCAAAGGAAAACAAACAAAGGAAGCAATGGTAAAGTACATTACTCTGAAAACTTTACTTGAGAAAAGCTATCATTAGGGTTTGGAAAATTCCAAAGAGGGAAGACATTGTGTCTATGAAGAAAAGTGTTATGAAAAGGAAGAATTGGGGCTAGAGATATGGTTCAGCACTTAAAAGCACTGGCTCTTTCATAAGACTCTGGTTTGGTTCCCAGCACCCACATAGTGGCTAACAATCATTGTAATGCCAGTTCCAAGGACTCTGATGCCCTCTTCTGGCCTTTGTGGGCACCGCATGCACATGGTACACTTACATATATGCAGGCAAAACACAATTTTTTAAAAAAATTATGTGTATGAGTGTTATGCATGCATGTATGTAAGTAAGCACACCTGTGTCATTAAATGCACAAAGAGGTCAGAAGAGGGTGTTGGATTCCCTGCAACTGGAGTTACACATGGTTGTTAGCTGCCATATGGATGCTGGTATTTGAACCTGGGTCTTCTGCAAGAGCAGCCAGTACTCTTAACCCATGAGCCATCTCTCCAGCCCAATAAAAAAGGTTTAAAAAGCTGGGTGTGGTAGCAGGTGCATGCCTTTAGTCCTAGCCCTTGGGAGGCAGAGGCAAGCAGATCTCTGAGTTCAAGGCCGTCCTGGTCTAGATAGCAAGTTCCAGGCCAGCTGGGGCTACAAGGAGACCCTGTCTCAAAAAGATCCCCCCCCCCAAAAAAAGTGGCAGAAAAAGTAAGAAAAAAAAATAGGATATTTATTCAAGAAATTATTGTTGCATTTCTAGATAGAGAGGACCTACCTGACACAAAAATCCTTACTGAGTAAGACACAGTAAAACTTGTAGTGCCAGCCTGTCAGAGACTGAGGCAGGAGGATGACTTGAGCCCAGGAATTCAAGGCCAGCCTGGGCAACAAAGAATTGGTTAGCAAGACTTCATTTCAAAATAAAAAGGATCATCATATGATTTCAGGGCCCTGGGGATAAAGAGAACTAAGGGCTTCCAGAGAGAATAAAAAGTAAATCGGGCTGGAGAGATGGCCCAGCGGTTAAGAGCACTGACTGCTCTTACAGAGGACCCGGGTTCGATTCCCCGCACCCACATGGTGGCTACAAACCGTCCTTAACTCCAGTGCCAGGGGAATCTGAAGCCCTCTTCTGACCTCCGCAGCATTGCACGACATGGGTGCACTCACATACATGCAGGCAATACAGTCATACACATAAAATAAAAATATTTTTAAAAAAGTAAATCAAGGCTTGAGGGAACAGTATCAAACTGACTATAATGGAACTACAAATCAAAACAAGAGAATAATAACTTCAGAATTCTGAAGGAACAAATTTTTTTTCTTTTTTCTTTTTTTTTTTTTTTGAGGCAGAGTCTCCCTGTAGCTCCAGCTGTCCTGGAACTCACTATGTAGACCAGGCTGGACTTGAACTCACAGAGATCCGCCTGCCTCTGCCTCCCGAGTGCTGGGATTAAAGGCGTGCGCCACCTCACCCGGCCCTAGGAAAATTATTTTCAACTCAATTCATATATTTAAAGTTTTAAAAAGATTTTTTATTTTGTGTATGAGTATATTGCCTGCACATAAGTGAGTGCACCCATGTTGTGCAGTGCCTTGGAGGTCAGAAGAGGGCTTCGGATTCCCCTGGAACTGGAATTAAGGATGGTTCTGTCGTCATGTGGGTGCTGGGGATTGAACCCGGGTCCTCTGCAACAGCAGTCAGTGCCCTTAATCACTGAGCCATCTCTCCAGCCCCAAATTCATATTTTTTAAATACACAACTCAAAAACAATCTGGGCTGGTGAGATGGTTCAGTGGATAAGGGCATTTGCTTCTAAGTCTGATGACTGGAGTTCAATTCCTGGGAGTCACATCACATGATAGAAGAGAACCAACTCCCACTAGCTATCCTCACTTCCACATGTATGTGATGGTGATGGTATGTGCATGCCCATGTACATAAACGCACACAAATGTAATTTAAAATAATTTTTTTAAAAATAGGCTCTGGTAGAAATCTTGCCTGGCACGTACAAGACCTTTAAAAAGGATTCCTTTCTTACGGGGGGCACTGTGACACAAGCCTTTGATCTCAGGCAGAACTGTAAGTTCAAGGACAGCCCGAGCTATATAATAAGCTCCAAGCTTAAGGAGACCCTGTCTCAGAAAAACAAAATTACATTTTCCATTCTTCCAGTCAAATGGGCCTACCAAAGGGTAACAGTATACTAAACAGGAATAAAGTATACAAAGAACTGGTGTCTTAATTCTGGGGATGTAGAGAAGACAACTGTACAGATGGAGAGAGCAAGCAGTGCACATCAGAGCAAAAGAATGGACAAATGAAACATAATAGATTTGAATAAATAACAAAATGTGTACTGAGAAACTATTGGATTTTGTGAGAATTTGCATTAGTCACATAAAAAAGGAAAAAAGCCAGCTGGGCGTGGTGGCGCACACCTTTAATCCCAGCACTTGGGAGGCAGAGGCAGGTGGATCTCTGTGAGTTCAAGGCCAGTCTGGTCTACATAGTGAGTTCCAGGACAGCTGGGGCTGCAGGGAGACCCTGTCTCAAAAAGACCAAAAAAAAAAGGAAAAAAGCCAAGCAGTAAATAAACCAAGGGATGGAAGATGCCCAGGTTAGCATTGTACAGTTGCTCACAGTCAAAATGTCAATATTTAGTACTATATAGTTAACAAAAAGTATGATTCAGTATTTTTTATTTTTGTATGAGTATATTGCCTGCAGGTGTGTAAGTGCACCTGTGTCATGTGATGCCAGAGGAGGTCAGAAGAGGACGTTGGATTTCTCCAGCCCCTGATTTCAGTATGTTAAGGTACAAGGAGGAAGAAATCAGTCAAAACTGGAAGTCAGTAGGCAATGTCTAGAATCAAGAAATAGGGGCTGGAGAGATGGCTTAGTGGTTAAAAACACTGGTTTTTCTTGCAGAAGACTTGGGTTCGAATCCCAGCACCCATATGACAGCTAACTGTCATGAAGTCCAGTTCCAGGGCATCCGACAGCCTTTTTGTCCTCTCTGGGCTTTGCACAACATGGGTGTACTTACCTACCCAAAGGCAATACACGCATACACATAATTTTTTTAAAAAAAGAAATAGCTAGGCATGGTGTCACAGGCTTGCAATTCCAGCTACTCTTCAGGCAGAAGAGAAGGCAGAAAGTTCAAGGCCATCTTGAGCAATTTCATGAGACCCTGTTTCAGAAAAGAAAAAGTGGGGGTGGGTTGTAAGGGATCTTAGTGACATTGAGCTTGCCTATCATGGGGATGAGAAAGGAGGGAAATGGAACAGAGGATAACTGTTAAAAGCTCTAATACTGATGGCACTGGAAATATGGCTTAGTGGTAAAGAGCACTGACTGCTTTTGGAGAGGATCCATGTTCAATTCCTAGCACCCACATGGTGGCTAACAACCATCCATAACCCCAGTTCTAGGAGACCCAACACTGCCTCTGACCTCTGCAAGCATAGCATGACAAGGCCACCTACACACATGCAGGCAGTACACTCTGTACTCATTAAAAATAGTCAAAGGCCGGGTGTGGTGGTGCACACCTCTAATCCCAGTACTTGGGAGGCAGAGGCAGGAGAATCTAAATTTGAGGTCAGCCTGGTCCACATAGGGAGTTCCAGGCCAGCTAGGGCTACAGGGAGACCCTGTCTCAAAAAGGACAACAAAAAAAAACACTGCTCATTCAGAAGACCCAGGTTTGAATCCCCACTTGGCAGCTAACGACCCACATAGCAGCTAATGACCTTATGTAACTCCAGTTCCAGGCCATCCGATGTCCTCTTCTGGCCTCTGTGGCCATTACATGACAGGTGCACTTACATACATATGCAGGAATAACACTCGTGCACATAAAAAATTTTAAAACCTGGGCTGGAGAGATGTCTCAGTGGTTAAGAACACTTCTTTCAGAAGACCCGGGTTCAAATTCCAGCACCCATGTGGCAGCTAACAACTGTCCATAACTCCAGTCCCAGGGGATTCAACAGCCTCTTCTGACCTCCACAGGCATTGCACAACACGGGTGTACTTACCTACCTGCGAGCAATACACGCATACACATAAATTATCTTTTTAAGATTAAACCCAGCACTTGGGAGGCAGCGGCAGGTGGATCTCTGTGAGTTTGAGGCCAGCCTGGTCTACATAGTGAGTTTCAGGTCAGCTGGGGCTACAGGGAGACCCTGTCTCAAAAAGACCAAAAAAAAAAAAAAAATCCAAAGAGTTTAAAAAGTATATTTGAAAGGGGAATATTGGAGAGGTTTCTGAGCAGAAGTAACTGAAAGGTTCTGAAAGCCAGGCATAATGACATACACCTGTAATCTCAGCACTGAGAAGCCTGGGGCAAGAGAATTACCACAAGTTCAACACCAGCCCTGGCATACACTGAATTACAGCTGAGAATCTGAGGTCTGATCAGACCCACTGATTATACCTAGTTCTGATTTGACACCCACTGTCCCAGTCATGCACATATGCACTTATTCTTCACTCAATTCATTTCTCTCCCTTTTTTGAAACAGGGTCTCACTATGTGGCCCTGGCTGTCCTGGAACTTGCTATGTACATGTTGCTGGCCTGAAGTTCCAGAGATCCACCTGCTTTTCCCTCTGGTTAAATTACAGGTGTGTACCACCAGGCCTGCCTGGGTCAATCCATTTCTCAAACCACTACTGAAGTCATAAGGATTAAAAATTTGATTCTAAACCGCGCCATGCCTTTAATCTGAACATTCGGGAGGCAGAGGCAGGTGGATCTGAGTTAAAGGCCAGCCTGGTCTACATAGCAAGTTCCAGGCCCGCTGTAGCTACAGGAAGACCCTGTAAGACGGGGTGGGGGTGGGGGTGGGGGGGTTGATTCTAACCCGCCCTTGAGGAGCTCAATTTAGCGACCTCAATGACAGCAACTGTGCTTCTCAGCAGGACCCATGTTGAGGCCACTCTCAACATCCAATGATCCAGTAGTCTTCAGATCCATCCTCTTCCAGACCATCTCTGGGGACCAAAAAGTGACACCTGTGTTCCACCCCCCTCGAGATCCCAGGCGCCACCAAACCCCTTGGGTCCATCTAGTCAGACCTCCCTTCCAGCTCTGGGGGTCTGAATCCCGAGCGCTGCCACCCCACTAGTGGGCGGGCAGTCGGCAGCGCGAACCAAGCCCAGCCGGGCTGCGGGCGGCGAAGCCAGCGCGGCTCGGGGGCGGGGCGAGCGGCCGAGCCGGGGGAGGGGACGCGCTGTGCTCATCCCAGAACCGGGAGGGCCACGGCCACCGGAAGAGTCGCGGTCGCCAGCGGAGCGCCGGGAGAAGCGAGCGGAAGCGGCGCTGGCGGCGGCGCTGGGACCCGGGAGCGGTCGGAGAACAAGGGAGCTGGCGCGGCGGCCGAGCGGGGCTGAGTCGCGGGCCGCGCTGAGCGCCGCCGCCTAAGAGGCCCGGCCCGGCTGCCAGAGCAGGCCGCGGGGCCGAGGCCGGAGCCATGGGCGAGACCAAGATCATCTACCACCTGGACGGCCAGGAGACGCCCTACTTGGTGAAGCTGCCCCTGCCGGCCGAACGCGTCACCTTGGCGGACTTTAAGGGCGTTCTGCAGCGACCCAGCTATAAGTTCTTCTTCAAGTCTATGGACGACGATTTCGGGTGAGGATGCCCCCGCCCCGTCTCCGGGAGCCCGGGCTGCCCCGTTGTCGGGGCCAGCGCTGCCAGTTCAGACTTCCCTCGCTGCACTGGCTTCCAGCCGCACTCGCAGCTGGGGAGTGACTGGGTCCACTTGGGCCCACTTGGCTTGGAATGCTGTGAGTCCAGCCCCTCTGAGATCTTGCCCCTAGTTCAGCGGGACGCCCGACTTCCTAAAGCAAGCGATCCTGCCATTCAAGTCCCTGACCTCCCCACAGGCCAGTGGCCCCCGAGACATACATCCTCTCCACTCAGTTCCGAAGTCAGAGTGTCCTCAGCCCTCCTGCCAGATGCCACCTTTCTAGCACAGAGTTGGGATATTTTGACACCCGGCCTGCCTTCCCCATCTTCTCAGCTGTACAACTCAGAGCCATATTTGGAATATACTACATCTAAGGCCGTAGCCTGTGGGACTTTGAACTGGTGGAAAGAAGGAGTTGGGGGCTGTTCTGCCAGGCTGGATGCTGGACCTGATGTTTATTGAGCTGTCTTCCCCTCCCTTGGGCTCATGGGATGTTGCCTGACCCCGAGGAGAAGTCCTCACTAATCAGGTGCTGGGGACTTTTTCCTCCAGATGGTGGTCCCAAGGGAGATGTTGCAGAAGGCTTCAGAGCCTGAATGGGAGGTCCAGGAAGAGGCCGTTCATAGTCTATCTCCCCCTCCCTATGCAGCTGCAAGGCTTTTGACTGGCAGTTTGGAAGCAGGGACTGCTTCTTTAAAGAGAGGTTGGAATGTTGAAGCCAGAGGGTTCTGTAGCAGCTGGCCTGAAAGGGGGATACACACACACACACACACACACACACACACACACACACATCTTCCAAGGGGACCAGGGAGGGGTAGTTCTTCATACTACCCTGCCCACATTAACTGGGCCATGAGCCTAGAGGCCCTAGGGAAGGCCTGGGCCCTCCAGGCCTGAAGGTCCCTCTCATGCTCTAGCCTGAGGCCTACGCTGTGTCTGCACCTGAGGCCCCAGAGCTTGATGAGGGGAAACATTCTTCTCCCTAGTGTTCCACTGTTCTGGCTTCTCTCCCAAGGCCCATCCCCTTATCTCCCAGGAGGCAAGCACCTTCTGTCCTCTTCTGCCTGGTCTATCTATTTCCTGTCACCTTCTGCCCTGAACTCAGCATTTGATGGGCCCATGAAATGTGTGTGACAATGTTTTATACAGTGGGGAGTAGATTCTCACTATTCCTGATTCTGTTCTTGCCCTGGAATGAGGACACTCAGTGTGGTAATGGCTGGCTGGCTTTAGTCTAGAAATCGGCATACTTGATTGAAAGGCTGCTAAAGGGTTTACCTGGAAGGTTTGTGATAGGGGGTGAGTCCCTCAACACAGCATGAGAGAAGTAAAGAGAATAGGGTCTGAAGGGAGTGAGACAGTACCTCAAGGATTGCAGGGCCAGATGCCTCAAGGATGACCTCTCTGGACTGCTTCCCATTCTCCCAATGCTGTTGTGGAGCCAGGCCTAGCTACAGTTATAAGAGGGCCCTGTTGCTTATTGGTCCCCTAATACTTTTCTTTAAATCAACTCAGTCCACTCATTTTTTTCCTTAGCTTGACCAAACTAATAATATGAAATCAACTACAAGCCTGATACTCTGATTTATATTTGTTTCTAAACTACATTACAAATAAATATTAAGTAAGCAACATTTATCATGAACCACCTGAAGCCATCTTGCATGCATCTGTGGGCCTTGAAACAATCTTTGCACAATACCAGTTGGCTGTTCTAGCAGGTTGAGAACAATGCTAAAAGTGGAAGAGAGTGGTTGGTTGTTTTTATTTCCCACACACACCCCAAGGATAAATGAGCAAGAGACCTGATAGGGCTATCCTATTACAGAAGACTAATAGCCATGGATTGTATATATACTGTATATCATTTTCTATTTTACAAATTCATATAGTGCTTATAGTCTGCCAGTCAGTGCTATCATTCTTTGCACATCATTCCTCTCTGAATCCTTATGCCAACTTATGAAATAGGTGCTAATATCCCCATTTTGCAAACAAGGAAATTAAAATACAAAAGGCTTATGTAACTTGCCTATGGTTACACAGCTAGTAAGTGACAAAGCTTGGTTAGACATGGGGATCTGACTGAAATTGAAAGCCTTGACCACACTGTTGTAGAGAGGGTGTGTGTGTGTGAGAGAGAGAGAAAGAGAGAGAGAGAGAGAGAGAGAGAGAGAGAGAGAGAGAGCACTTTGTACAGTGAAAAATACAATGTAAATCACCATTTTAGATGTTCCTCTCTCCAGGAAGATGGTAAGCTTTGGCAAACTGGGAAAGTAAAAGGCATTTATCCAAGCCCAGGACAGTGACCCCTGCTGATAAGAGGGAAAGTATGTCAGAGGAGGAAGCCTGCTACCCCTCAACTTCTGAGGTTCTAAGGTTCCCCAACTCCCACCTGGTCTCCAAAAGTATTTGTCAAGCTCAGAGTAGGCTCAGCCCTTTTAAATTACTTGGGAGGGCCAGTGAGATAGCTCATTGGGTAAAGGAACTTGTTGCTTTAGGACCCAGATGGTGGAAGGAGAGAATCAGTTCCCACAAGTTGTCCTCTGACTTCCACACAACATCATAACACATGCATGCCCACACCTACATGCACACATACACAAATATTTTTTTAATTACTTGAAATATGGAGAAAAAAAGAAACATTTCAGCACTGAGGAGAGAGTAGATGGAGCAAGGTACCTACTGTTAGTCTAGCCTTAAGCTGTAGGTGGGGAGTTAAGATAGCAAGTTAGGTTCCTACTGCGTTGTCCCTTCTCCATGTCATATACTATCTACTTCTGGACCTTCTACCTGAGTACCCTTCTTCCTGTCTTCCTTGAGAACCATCAGGACACTTTGATATCTTTACATCGTAATGTAAATTTTTTTAAACCTTTTGCAATTTTTTTTCTTGGTCTTTTTAAAAATATTTATCATTTTTTGTGTGTGTATGTATGAGTGTTATGCTTGCATGTAGGTAAATGCACCCATGTCGTGCAATGCCCACAGAGGACAGAAGAGGCTGTCGGATCCTCTAGAACTGGAGTTACAGACAGTTGTTAGCTGCCATGTGGGTGCTGGGATTTGAATCCGGGTCTCCTGCAAGAACAGTCAGTGTTCTTAACCGCCAAGCCATCTCTCCAGCCCTTTTTCTTGGTCTTTTTGAGACAGGATTTCCCTGTTGCTCAGCTGGCCTGGAACTCACTATGTAGACCAGGTTGGCCTTGATCTGACAGAGATCTGCCTGCCTCTGCCTCCTGAGTGCTGGGATTAAAGGTGTGTGCCACCACACAGGCAACCTTTTGCAATTCTAAGGAACCACTCTCAAACGCACTTATCTACTGCTCTATGGCTTCAGTCTCTCCCCATGTGCAATATATTCTATGAGCTACGCACTGGATGGTAACCTCTCAGAGTACAAGGTGGGCTCCTGGCCCAATTCTTCATGAGCATCATGTCATGATAAGCAAAGTACTTAAAAACCTACCGGACTTTGTAACTGGATGAAAAACTTTTAATGAAAGTCAGGCATGGTGGTGTACACCTTTAGTCCCGGCACTTGTGAGGCAGAGGAAGACAGATCTCTATGAGTTCAAGGCCAGCCTGGTCTACATAGTTAGTTCCAGGCCAGCTGAGCAACAGGGAGACCTTGTCTCAAAAAGACCAAGAAAAAAAAAAAAAAAATGGTGAGCACAAAATTTGTTTAGTCCCTGACTTTAGAAACTTACAGCTAAACTAGGCAAGGTACTCACCTGTAATCCCAGAAATTGGGAGGTATAGGTAGGAAGATCAGAAGTTCAAGGCCATGTTCAGGTATATAAGGAGTTTGAAACAAGCTTGGGCTACACCTATCTCAAAACAAACAAATGGGCCAGGGGCCTAGGAATGGCTTACTGGATAAAGGTGCTTGCCACCAAGCCTTGAGGACCTGAATTTGATCCCTAGTACCCACATGGTAGAAGGAGAAAACACTCCCATAAGTTGTCCTCTGACCTCCACATAGGCACCATAACATGGGTATATATACACATACATACATACATACATACATACATACATACATACATACATAAATGTTAAAAACAAAAAAACAAAATGGCTGACTGGGAGTCATGGTGCATGCCTTTAATCCTAGCACTTGAGAGGCAGACACATGTAGATCTTAAGATCAAGGCCATCCTAGTCTACCTAGTGAGTTCCAGGCCAGCAGGGGCTATAGGGAGACCCTGTCTCCAAAAACAAAAGGAAAAGTCTGGTGACACTGTTAATTTTTTGTTTGTTTTTTTGTTTTAGACAGGGTCTCCCTATAGCCTCACCTGGCTTGGAACTCCCTACCAGGCTGACCATGATCTCAGAGAAATCTGCCTACCTCTGCCTCCCAAGTGCTAAGATTAAAGGCATGTACAACTATGTCCACAATGATAATTTAAAAAAAAAAAAAAAAAAAAAAAAAAAAGAAAGGGAGGAAGGGCCAGTTAGATGGCTCAGTGGGTAAAGACTCCTGCCACCAAGACTGAGACTTGAGGACCTACCTGAGTTAAACCCCTAGGATGGGGACCCGCATGGTAGAAGGGAGAATCAAGTTCTGAAAGTTATCCTCTGACCTCCGTACTTGTGCCATGGTATATGCACCCCCATGCACACAAAATAAATAAATTAAAAATGTAATAAAGCTGGCGTGGTGGCGCACGCCTTTATTCCCAGCACTCAGGAGGCAGAGGCAGGCGGATCTCTGAGTTCAAGGCCAGCCTGGTCTACATAGTGAGTTCCAGGACAGCTGGGGCTACAGGGAGACCCTGTCTCCTTGGCAGGTGAAAAGACCAAAAAAAAAAAGTAATAAAAACTTAAAAAAAAACCAAAAAACCCACACATCTAGTGAGAGAGTGTGGATCTTAGCCAAAGTTGAGTTAGTAATTAGTTTTTATTATATTCCTAGATTATACCAGCCACATAAGAATGTCATTTACCAGCCTGAGATAAAGGCTTGGATAAGTTAAGGGAGTTCTCTAAAATGGGAAAGCTAGTAAGTTGTAGAACTGGAATTTTTTTGTATGTGGGGTTTTTTTTGTTTGTTTTTTGAGACAGGTCTCCCTGTAGTCCCAGCTGGCCTAGAACTCACTATGTAGACTAGGCTGGCCTTGAACTCACAGAGATCTGCCTGCCTCTGCACTGGGGAGCAGTGCTAGGATTAAAGGTGTGGACCACCACTTTAGGCAGAATTGGACTTTGAACCTATATTTCTCTGACTCTAATCTGAGTGAAAAGGGAAAAACAAAAAGGCTGAGAGACTGATGTTGAACTCTGAGCCGCTCAGCTCTGCCATGAGAGAATACAGCCTAAGTGAGGTTCCCCCAGAGCTGCTGAAGATCAGTAGAACCTTGATGACCTGTCAGTGACCCCCAGAAAGAAAAGAAACATATGGATTGTGGTAGGGCCTCCCAGGGGAGAGAGGGGTACTTAACAGCAGTCTCCCACCAAGAACATCTCCAAAATAAGTCAGAGCCCGTGGTATGGGTCACATGCTCCCTCTTTCCTTTGAGCCCAGGTAACCATGCAGGGCTGCAAGTTTGGGGCACCCCATGACCTGACTGGCTGGTAGGTCTAGGCAACTTCTCTGCTACTTCTTTAGCCTTTCTGCCACCATGAGCCTGAGCAAGATGATTTGGCTGCTTTCTTAGAGTTGCTGTGGCATTGGAAATGGTGGGGAGCCAGAGCTGGATGGGAGGGAAGAGAGTAGACTTGGCCTGGGAACTTCAGAGCAGGCTGTTGTAAGAGTGAGGGAAGGCTGGGCTTCCTCCCCTCCTCCCCTGCTGTGTTCCCTCTTTACCCAGATTCTAATCAGGTGTCATCCTCTAACTTTGGTCACATTTTACCAGCTTTGTGCTCCTGAGGCATTTGACAGTCTGATGGTCCACAACATTTTCCATTCCTTTCTCTGGCCCCAAACCATCCTCACTATCTAACTTCTGGCCCTACCCCATTCCTGAGACCAAACTGCACGCCATGACCACCACTCTCCCCATAGACCCATTACCTCTGTCATTATACAGGAAAAATATGTGGCATACAGTGAAAAGAGTAAGGTCAGCCTGGAGTTGAATTCTAGCTGTTTCTATTATTTTTGTATTTGTAATCCTGAACAAGTTACTGAAGGTTAGTTTCTTAATCATAACATGAGGATCATACTTTCTACCTACTGAGGCTGGAGTGCAAATGATATGTTCTCACTTTAGATACAGAAGATATAAAAATGCATAACTTCAGAATCAGGCTGACCAAGATTCAAATGCCAGCCTTTCACTTGTCAGTGGTATGAGTTTATGTGGATTGCTGAACCTATTAGTTTCCCATCAGTCCTTCTCTTGTAGCACTCTTGTGAGTGTTGAATGGAGTGATGATAACAAGTGCTGAGGATAATGCTAGGCTTATAGTGCATGTTCAATAAATCATCACTTAATTTTCTCTTTTTTTTCTTTTCTTGGGGGCAGAGGATGGATGGTGGGGGCAATGTCTCATGTATCTGAAAGCTGGCCTCAAACTCACTGTGTAGCCAGGATTCCCTTGAACGAACTAATCCTCTTGCCTCCACTTCTCTAGTGCTAGGATTATCATGCTACACTACCTTGCCCAGTTTATGTGGTGCTGGGTGGAACCTAGGGCTCTATGCCTGCTAGGTACATGCTTCCTTGTTTTTCTGAGACAAGGTCTCGTTATATAGCTCGGGCTTCCCTCACAATCCTCCTGCCTCAGTCTTTGATGGGATTACAGGTATATAACACCCTGCCTGGCTACTATTAGTTATTTTAATGTCACATGGAAGATGTTTATTAAATGCTTTCTCTTTCCCATTTCCTTAAACTCCTTGTCCACACCTCTCAGAACAATGTCAAGAGACCTAGTTCAGAAGGGAAGAACAGTAATGATTTGATCCAATTTGAGGGTCAAAAGAAAAAGAAAGCCCATGAGGAAACTCATGCTAGGAAGGCCAAAATCAGTTGGGAGGTTCTGAGATATGGCATGGGGCTGCTATAATTTCAGTAACCTGGTAGCTGAGACCATGCTCCAGCAAAGCAGCTGGCGTAGATGGGGTTCCGCCTGAGGGGTGGCCCAGAGCACCTTGTGTTTTCCCCACTTCCAACCCCTCCCCATAGCGTCCAGCCAGCTCCCTGCCTGTCTGCCCTCCTGGTGGGCTGGAACTCGATATGTAGACCAGGCTGACCTTGAACTCACAGAGATCCTGTTTGCCCTACTTCTTTCAGGTGCTAAAGAGCTGTACCAAGTCAGCTTGATTCCATACTTAGGGTAAAGGACAACTGGGATTGTGAGGACCGTCCATCCCATACCACAAAGTTCTCTCTAATGTCTCCCTTCCCTGCAGAGTGGTGAAAGAGGAGATCTCAGATGACAATGCCAAGCTACCCTGCTTCAATGGCCGGGTGGTGTCCTGGGTAAGGAGCCTTCAGCCTCTATCTACCTGTACCCCTGTGCTGGCCAGAGGGTGGAAAGGCATAGCTGAAACCAAAGCTAGTACTGTTGTGCGTTTGCACTAAATCTTTACTTTTCTAACAATATCTTACCTAGATTCTTCAACCTTTAATGAAAAGTGGGAGAATAAATAGAAGGAGGAAAAGGGAGACACAGAAACACATGGTAGAGATTAAGGGTCTCCTATATCCATCCAGACACCTGCTGTCACCTGGCAATCTGCCTGAGCCACCAATCTTTGTTCTCGCCCCCTACACCACTTCACTAGCCCATGCCTCCTGCCCCTCTCCCTCACACAAACCTGGGCAGCTGTCCTTGTTCTCTGTCCTCAAGCTCTCATGTCCTGCTGGAAGTCAACATCTTCCTTTTCCCTGACACCGCTACAACCACTCATTTTCCTCCTATCAGCTGGTGTCAGCTGAAGGCGTTCACCCAGAACCAGCCTCCTTCTGTGCTGACAACCCACCAGAGCTGCCACCTCCTTTGGAGCGCACAGGAGGCATTGGGGACTCTCGACCCCCATCCTTCCAGTAAGTGTGACTTGAAGGTGGGAATGGCCCATGGGAGACGTCCACCAGAGCTCCGCCTAGGGCCTGGGGAGGGACCCCCCAGTCTGCTGTCTTGCTCACCATGTTTTCTCTGTCCTTTAGCCCTCATGCTGGTGGAGGCAGCCAGGAGAACCTGGATAATGACACAGAGACTGACTCCTTGGTGTCTACCCAGAGAGAGCGGCCCCGCCGGAGGGATGGCCCAGAGCAAGGTTTGTATTTCCCATTTCAAACCCCTCCCCACAGCTTCCAGATAGCTCCTGCCTCTACTCTACTTCCTGAGTTCTGAATTTGCTTAGCCTTAGTTCAACCCTTGGCCTACCTTTCTTGCCTTCATTGGCCCCTGACAAACCCAACTGTCTTCCTCCCTTGCAGCAGCCCGGCCTAATGGAACTGCAAAAGGGGAGCGGAGGAGGGAGCCAGGTGGCTATGACAGTTCATCCACCCTTATGAGCAGTGAGCTGGAGACTACCAGCTTCTTTGACTCAGATGAGGATGACTCTACTAGCAGGTGGGGCTTGAGTTTCATAGGTAGTGGGGTGGGAGTAAGAAGGGCAGGTGACCCTTGAGGAGCCCCTGGGAGGGATGTGAGCTTTGTGTTGAGACCAGGGCCCTGCAGAGCCTCTCCATGAGGCAGGCCTGAGCCAGCCTAGTGGGGAATGACTCTGGGCCCCACAGGTTCAGCAGCTCCACAGAACAAAGCAGTGCTTCACGCCTGATGAGAAGACACAAGCGCCGGCGGAGGAAACAGAAAGTCTCTCGGATCGAAAGGGTATGGGCTCTTAGATGCTCAGGATGGGTATGGGAGCAGGGTGTGAGCACTTCCCGGCAGGACCACACAGCCTTTTCTTCCTCAGAGCCCTTTGGCTCAATGTTTGGAACTGTAGTGGGTAAGGGTTGTATGCTGAGAAAGAACTAGGTGGGAGCGCCACCATCCTTACCTGCTGCTCACAGCCACTGTCTCTTCCAGTCCTCGTCCTTCAGCAGTATCACAGACTCCACTATGTCTCTCAACATCATCACAGTTACTCTCAACATGGGTGAGTTCGGTGAAACATTTTTAAATGCCTTTGCTATGACAGATATTGGATGGAGGTGGGGTTCTGGGGAGCACAACAAACATTTTCTGAGGCTTGGGGTAGAATCTCAGCGGCAGAATACAAGGCCCTGAGTTCCATCCCTAGCACTGGGAAGAAAAAAGCTATGTTCCCTGTCTCAGGGAGCTTTTTTATAAATATCAGCTGATACACAATCTGATCATCTTGTGGTCAGGGTCATGACAGACAAACAGAGCTTGGAAGCAGAAAATGGAAGGTTTCCTGGAGGAAGTGATTTCCAAGAGCCCTATCTCTTCCCATCTTTAGTCACTGCATCCTTACTCTCTTACTTCTGACTCTCTTTAGAAGACAGCTGGTGGCTGGCAAGATGGCTCAGAAGGTAAAGGCGCTTACCGCCGAGCCAGATGACCCTAGAATGATCCCCAGAACCCACATGGTAGAAGGAGAAAATGATTCCCACAAGTTCTACACACACACACACACACACACACAATTATTAAGTAAATAAAATTAAAAAAAAGTTTTTAAGATAGCTGGACATAAGAAAAATAGCTTGGGAACTTAAATCTGAATTTAAATCTTGCTACTTACTGGCTTAGAAAACTCACTTAAATAATTTGTCTGTTCTGTAAAAGTGAGACTTAAGAATCCCTGATGCAAAACCAGCAAGAAAAATGAAAGCATATTTAAGCACACATTAGGTAGTAATACACATTTTAGAAGTTTAATAGTGTCAGTTTTTTTCCCTTTACTATTAAGGGGCTGGGAACTTGGGTAAGAACCCTGCTCCTCACAAGGTATTAAATTATTCCCTGTAGAAAAGTATAACTTCTTGGGCATCTCCATTGTGGGCCAAAGCAACGAGCGAGGTGACGGAGGCATCTACATTGGCTCCATCATGAAGGGTGGGGCTGTGGCAGCTGATGGACGCATCGAACCCGGAGATATGTTATTACAGGTATCATTGCCTACCCTAGGTGGTAGGATAGAGAGAAAGCTCCTGCTGTCTGGAGGGAGACCTCCTGACTCTCATACCCAGCTCCCCTATCCATCTCCCTAGCCTGATCAGTTATCTCACTCCTAGCCCTCTTTTTCAGGTAAATGAGATCAACTTTGAGAACATGAGTAATGACGATGCAGTCCGAGTACTGCGGGAGATTGTACATAAACCAGGGTATGAATGGAATGGGGTGCTGGGGAAGATGAGGCCAGCATTTCTGGCAGGGGGCTTGGTCTGGCCTTCATACATCCTGCCCTTATTAGGACAACCTTGTTTTTAGGCCTATCACCCTAACTGTAGCCAAGTGCTGGGACCCAAGTCCACGTGGTTGCTTCACATTACCTCGGAGTAAGTAGATGAGGGATTCATCACTAAACCTGGTGTTGGCATATATAAGTCCTGCCCCTCCTTTCTTCTGTGTTTCCTTGATCCCACACCTACCTGTTGAGCACAGCAGTAGGCAGGGTGGGCAGCCTGTGACTCCTCATCCTCTCTGCAGGTGAGCCCATCCGGCCCATTGACCCTGCAGCCTGGGTCTCTCACACTGCAGCCATGACGGGCACTTTCCCTGCCTACGGCATGAGCCCCTCCCTGAGCACCATCACCTCTACCAGCTCCTCCATTACCAGCTCCATTCCTGATACAGAGCGTGAGTGTCCAAGTGTGTCCCTTGGGTCCAGCAGACGAGGCCAGGTGGGAGGTTTGCTGAGAAGCCACCTGTAGATCAGGGAGGGCCTGAGAGGGGACTAGCCTCATTCCAGATACCTCACACTGTACCTCTTTCCCCAGTGGGCACTTAAGTGTCTCACGGAACATTGTTTGCTTCTGAACCTATGGTGAACACCCAAAGAGCTTCAGTTTCCTCCCATACAATAGAACTACCAGTGTACACTTTACCAGGTCCCTGTGGGTTTAATAAGAGGCTCTAAGTGGGACACCATCAGTGTGGCATGAAGCAAGCACTCAATAAATGATTGTTATTTTTATTGTCATACCATGCACATCTACATTCTGGTAAGCACCCTCATGAAATCATTGAATTATTCTTTCAATTATTCAAATATCTTGTACTGAGCCAGGTGTGGTGGTGCACGCCTTTAATCCCGACACTCTGGAGGCAGAGGCAGGTGGATCTCTGTGAGACTGAGACCAATCTGGTCTATATAGCAAGTTCTAGGCCAGCTGGAGCTACAGGGAGACCCTGTCTCAAAAAAAAAACAAAACAAAATCAGTTGTCCTTGTAAATATTACAATAGCCATTTTTACAGAAGGGGAAACTATCTTGGAAGTCAGTAGCTTTTCCAGCATTGGTCTCATAATTATTGGGTGGTAGAGCAAATGCAACCTAACTTTAAAGTACCTTTTTGCTTCACCATTCTGTCTCTCACCCTCAGGCCTAGATGACTTCCACTTGTCCATCCACAGTGACATGGCCACCATCGTAAAAGCTATGGCCTCTCCTGAATCAGGGTTGGAGGTCCGAGATCGCATGTGGCTCAAGATTACTATTCCCAATGCTTTCATTGGTGAGAGAACCCTATGACAAGATAAAGGACAGGGTGGGGAGTCATGGGACAGGACGAGCGAGGGGTGGGAGGACCCGAGAACTCCCTTGGGCTAGTCCTTTGAATTGGAAATAGCTTCTGTGAGGCCAGAGAAACCCAAATCAACTGACAGCATTATCCTCAGGCTCAGATGTGGTGGACTGGCTGTACCACAATGTGGAAGGCTTCACTGACCGGCGGGAGGCCCGAAAGTATGCCAGCAACCTGCTGAAAGCCGGCTTCATCCGCCACACCGTCAACAAGATCACCTTCTCTGAGCAGTGCTACTACATCTTCGGTGACCTCTGTGGTAGTATGTGCTTCCCCTACCACCTTTTCTGTTTTCCCTTTTTTATTTTTATTTATTTTTATTTTTGGTCTTTTTGAGACAGGGTCTCCCTGTAGCCCCAGCTGGCCTGGCACTTTAGACCAGGCTGGCCTTGAACTCACAGAAATCCACCTGCCTCTGCCACCCAAGTGCTGGGATTAAAGGCATGTGCCACCACACCTGGCCCTTGTTTTAATTTTTTTAGAGACAGGGTCTTTATAGATCATGTTGTCCCAGCACTCACTGTGTAGCCCAAACTGACCTCAAACTTGCAATAGTCCTCCTGCCTCAGCCTTCTGACTGCTGAGATTACGAGTGTGTACCACCACCACACCCAGAATCCCCCATCTTCTTGTTTCTTAGGTGGACGTAGGGAGGTGTCCCAGGATATGACATCTGACTCTGGGAAACCCAGATAGGTGTAACAGAGCTGGAGCTGGCCTCAAAGCTTGAGGGTCCTGTAGTACAAATAACCCATCTTCATTGGCCCTGCATCTTCCTGTTGAGCCTGGCATTCTCTAAGTGCCTGATCTGTGCCTGACATGGTGTCTATGGTTTCTAAAGTATCATCCTACTATCTTAATCTTCAGAGCACTCGCACACATACACAGGGGATAGGTACTATCCTTGTTACCAAATGAGGAAACAGATTTATTGGTGTAAAATAGTCTACCCTAGGTCTCAAAATTAGAAGAAATTAAGTTTTGGATCCAGGTCTTCTGACTCCAGAGCCCTTGCTCTTCCCACGATTCTGGACTGCTCAAGGTATATGATGCTCTAAAAACATTGTATCAGCAAAGCTAAACAGAGTGCCTGCCTTGGTCCATGAACCAAGCAGGATGTGAGCCTGCCCAAGGAGTCCAAGTCTTTCTAAGACACCTGAAGGTGAACTGTGCCATGAAATGAAGCTGAGACGCTGTCAGAGCCAGGTTATAAAGGACTCTACTCTGGGGAGTAGAGCTGTTCTGGGGAGTTCGAATTTGATTCTCAGAGGGTTCAAAACAATTGAACATAATTAAGCAGGATACCCTTCCTTATTCTTAGCAACTTCAGAACAGACAGCACTGTACATGCTGGGAGCTGAGGCCCACCCCCAGCAGCCACCTCTGCAAAAGAGCCTTCTTTCTGTCCAGTGGTGCTGGCTAACTCAGAATGCTTTTGGGACTAGAATAGCTGATACTGCTCAACTCCATGCCTTGGTAGTGGGTGGGGTACCTAGCCCTCAGCAGTTCCAGCATGATCCCTCTAGAGTTGTGATGGGATTTGAGAATTTGACAGTTCTGAGTTCAAATCCTGGTTCTACCCTTAATGTGTGAATATCAATATGTGCCTCAACTTAGTAAGATGAAAGCAAGAGTAGAACTGCTTTGAAATAGCATAATGTATGTAATGCACTTAGCATAGTGTACAGCCCACTCTTCATATATTTAATTGATTCTAAGAGGCTCATTTCTTCTACATTCCAATATCTGAAACCAGGGTATATCTTCCATCAATAACTTATTAGACTTACTGAAATTGGTTATTATTGTTATCATTAGCAGATGTCAGCCCAGACCTCAGATCTCTAGGGATACCTAAAGCTTCCAAGGCAGCCATGGCACCTTTCCTCAAAAGATGTTCTTCCCTGGGCTTCCACCCAGGTCACCCACAGCTCAGCTCAGAGAATGCTGACAGAAAAGCCTTTTCCTTCTCAGTAGCCAAAGTATCATGAGCTGGGAGTGTGGCAGGCTCAAAGAGAACTGTGTTCATCCAGGTTCACATAGTTGGTCCCCAGGATAGCAACTTTAGTTTTGTTTTGTTTTGTTATGGTTTAGGGAGTCAGGTCTCACTGTTTCCCTGGCTGGCCTCAAACTCACAGAGTTCCACCTGCCTCTGCCTCCTGAGTGCTGGGATTAATAGCATATGCCACTGTGCCCAAGTATCAGCAGCTCTTTGAGTGTAAGCCAGTGCAGAGGCCACTGCTTTCTTTCATCACCTGCATCCTGCTGCCTCTCAACAGGTTAATGACTTAAGTGGCAGGTTCCATAGGCAAACTCAGAGCCATATCCCCTGGCTTCTTTCTGCAGAGCTTGGCTGGATCATCTTTTGTTTTTTTTAAATTTTATTTATTATTTTTATTTTATGTGTTGTATGCATGTATTACCTGCATGTAGGTAAATGTACCCAACTCGTGCAATGCCAGCGGAGGGCAGAAGAGGCTGTTGGATCCCCTGGGACTGGAGTTATGGACAGTTGTTAGCTGCCATGTGGGTACTGGGATTCAAACCTAGGTCTTTAGCAAGAACAACCAGTGCTCTTAACCGCTGAGCTATCTTTCCAGCCCTTATCTTTTTTTTTTTAATTATTTTTAAAAATATTTTATTTGTTATTTTTATTTATTTATTTATTTATTTATTTATTATTATTTTTGGTCTTTTTGAGACAGGGTCTCCCTGTAGCCCCAGTGACGGTGCCAGCTGGCCAAGACGGACAGCACCTGAAAGGGGGAGTGAAGATTGAAAGAAAAAATAAGAGACAGAAAAGATGCTTGGGAGGGCTGACAGTAGTGCTTGCCTACCTGGTTTATTCCAGCTCCACCTTTTTAAACAGAAGAACTCAATTAGTTTCAACAGCTGTTTTTCCCCACCTGAATCTGAGGGTCAAGGAGGTCAGATACCTCAAAGGCTTCTTTGATCTTTTTGTCTACCACTATTGCCTCCAGGTCAGGTATTGTGAGGCTCTCCATATAAACACATTCCTCCTGAATAGGCAGATTAGCTCCCAACACCCCAGCTGTCCTGGAACTCACTCTATAGACCAGGTTGGCCTTGAGCTCACAGAGATCCACCTGCCTTTGCCTCCTGAGTGCTGGGATTAAAGGTGTGAGCCACCACGCCTGGCGTTATTTTTATTTTATGTGTATGCGTGTATTGCCTGCATGTAGGTAATTGCACCCGTGTTGTACAATGCCTGCAGAAGACAGAAGAGGCTGTCAGATCCCCTGGAAGTGGAGTTGTGGACAGTTGTTAGCTTCCATGTGGGTGCTGGGATTTGAACCCAGGTCTTCTGCAAGAACAGTCAGTGTTCTTAACCTCTGAGCCAGCCCCCATAGGCTGGATCATCTTAGGGTTTAAAGGATGATCTGGTAGAACAGATGACCTTATAGGGCAATTGAAGCTGTCTCAGAGTGAGCAAAGGATGTTCCAGAAGGAACATCAGTAAGTCCTAGTCACTACTTATACTCCCTTCAAGGAAGTTCTGGCACTTGTAGGGACAGCCTAACCTTTATTTAGAAAGTACACAATTTCGGGGGCTGAAGGAAGACTCATGAAATAATGTTGGTAAGTGAATTGTTCCCATTCATGGCTACAAGGATGCAGAGGAGCATTTAGGTTGTTCTTTCTGGCTCTTCCTACACCATCCCCACCCTCCACATCAGCTCAGGACAAGGACCATCTACAAGATAGGCCCTAAAAGTCCATAAGTTCATTCTGGATTCTGCCTGTCCCTACTTCCTCCTCCTCTTCCCTCCCTCCTGCCTCTCTCCTGCCTCCCTCCTCTGCCCCTCTCTATGTAGTCCAATTTAGCCTTGACCTCCCAGTCCTGCCTCAGCCTCCTGAGCTTTGGGATGACAGGTGCTCATCTCTATACACAGCTCATTCTGGACTTCTAATTTTTTTTTTTTTTATAGTTCTAGGGGAGAGGGAGGGCAAACATTCATCTAAGTTTCCCCAAACAACTGCCTACTCCTAACCAATGTCCTTCTCTGTAAAGGTAAGGAGAGTGCAAGCAGCTCTCAGCTTGTGCTCTGCCTATTGCTTAGGCTTACGCAGGCTGCCCATTTAACTGCTCTAGATTTGACTTTCTTTACCTGGAGAAGTGAGGGATACTTCCTTTGTGGGATTGTGGCAGTTTCTGCAGAGATAGAGTATTGTGTAGTATGCTTAATAAATCAGATTGTACAGTACATGGAGGCTTTCTAGTATTTCAGCCTTCTACATTTCCCTGACTGCATAACACAAGAGAAAATGGCAAAATAAGAGGAGAGGGCTGGGGAAGGGTATGGGCTTTTTGTTTTATTTTTGCTTTGGGATTTTTGTTTCATTTTGGAATTTTTATTTTTCAGGTTTTTTTAACTGTTCATATTGTTAGTCCAGACTAACTTTGAATTTACCATGTAACCTGGGCTGGTCTCAGACTCATACAGGCCTTCCCAGTACTGGGGGGTGTGGCCCTGGAAGGATTGGGATTTGGGTGTAGAGATTAGCTGAGGGCTGTTGGGGGTGACCAAGGAGGGCTGCAGGCCTCCCATTCCGGCCAAAAACGACCCATGTTGCTGCAGTCCATCTTAGGTTACAGATCCCTCTCTCCAGATCATGGGGTATGAGGCTCAAAACAGACCAGCTTACTCAGCCCTCTTTCCACAGACATGGCCAACCTGACCCTTCAGGACCACGACGGCTCCAGTGGCGCATCTGACCAGGACACACTGGCTCCTTTGCCACACCCTGGGGCTGCCCCCTGGCCTATGGCTTTCCCTTACCAGTACCCACCGCCTCCACACCCCTACAACCCACACCCAGGCTTTCCAGAACTGGGCTACAGCTACGGAGGGGGCAGTGCCAGCAGTCAGCACAGTGAAGGTAAGGTAGTGAGGCCCAGAAGGGAACAACAGGGAGCTCAGGCCGCCCTAGTGCTCTTATCCTGGCCCTGTTTGCTCCCTACAGGCAGTCGCAGCAGTGGCTCCAACCGTAGTGGCAGTGACCGGCGTAAGGAGAAGGACCCAAAGGCTGGGGACTCCAAGTCAGGGGGCAGCGGCAGCGAGTCAGACCACACTACACGCAGCAGTCTGCGGGGGTCGCGGGAACCTCGGGAGCGGGCGCCAAGCGAGCGTTCGGGCCCAGCGGCCAGTGAGCACAGTCACCGCAGCCATCACTCGCTGACCAGCAGCCTGCGCAGCCATCACACACACCCGAGCTATGGCCCACCCGGAGTGCCCCCTCTCTACGGCCCTCCAATGCTAATGATGGCCCCACCACCCGCAGCCATGGGGCCCCCAGGAGCCCCTCCGGGCCGAGACCTGGCATCTGTGCCCCCGGAACTCACAGCCAGCAGACAGTCCTTCCGCATGGCGATGGGAAACCCCAGTGAGTTCTTTGTGGATGTGATGTGATCAGGGCCCCTCTCCCACTCCCAACCCCACCCCAGCAGGCTGCACCCCTATCTCCTATTACTTAGTCTTTTTTACTTTGGTACCTGAAAGAGAAATAAATGGAACTAAACCTAGGCATGATACCTGCTTGCTGGGAGCCCCTAACCTGCCTCTGGCCCAGCTGGTGCCTCTGCCCACTAAACCGGCTGCAGGGCTTCCCAGGATCTCTCATATCCCTGGCTCTAGACTTGCTGGTGCTTTCTCTCCTCTGCCCCACCCTCACACTTAGGAGCTGACGCTAGTGGTGCCTTGGGGAGCCTCAGTACCCTTTTTCCCACCCCTCAAGCATGTGTTCAGATCTCTTGATTTTGCCCCAATACTAACAACAAAAAAAATGGTCTTTCCCTTCCTATCTGTCCCTGCCTGGTGCTTTAGTCCTCCACCCTACAGCCATAGCCTCTTCCAGTAGGTATCCATGCCATCCATCCCAGCCAATCGGAAGCCCAGACAGCCCCCTTAGGTGCCTGAGCACTAGTGGCTTCCAGGGAATATCTGCTGTACCTCCTATCCACCCTTGCCTGCCCTGTGTGCTGGTTCCCTCAGACCTAACCTTACTAACAGGCTCATCTCACTTCTGGGCCTGAAACATTTCTTTTCTTTTTTCTCCTTCAATTTTCCCTGGGCCTGGAGCAGCCAAGAATTTCCGGCTCTTTGACTTTCTGTGAGCCCCCAGCAAGGGGAGGCCCAGCCTCTAAGGAGACCAGGAACTCTGCTTCAGCAGCCCCTCAGGGCTTCCCCAGGATGTCCAGCCCCTACACCCACACTTCAGGGTCACTAGGCTTCCGGAAAAGACCCCAGCTTCACCCATGCATGACAGACTTTCCGGAGAAGAGGAGTATTTCTCTCTCTCTCTCTCTCTCTCTCTCTCTCTCTCTCTCTCTCTCTCTCTCTCTCTCTCTCTCTCTCTCTCTCTCTCTCTCTCTCTCCCACACACACACACACACACACACACACACACACACACACACACACACACACACACACACCTGCCTATGCAAATTCATATAACCCTCAGGGCTGGTCCCTGTCCAGAGGGCTGGACCCTCTCTCCAAGTCCTCTCTTTGATAGTGGGGCTGGTCCCTGACTTCCCTGTCCCCTTCCTCATAGCCCTCAAGCCACCCACACGTTTCCGACACCTTCCCAAAGGCTGAGACTCAGCAGAGGGTTTTCCAGGTAATTGACAGGTCATTCTCTATACTCTGTCCCATATACCCGTATACCCTTCTGTATTTTCATATTTACCATGATATGTGAGAACAAAGCCAGGAACCCACAGGCCAGTTGAAGTTGTACAAAAGGACTACTGGGACTTAGAAACAGTTCCAGTTTTTTTTTTAACCTTATTCTCTACCTTCAATCACAATTTTCTCTTTAGAACTCTACTATAAATTCTGACTCAACCAGACTCCTATATTTTCAGGACAAGAGTATCAAATGTGAGATGAAGTCAGAGCTGGAGACATAGCTCAGTAGTAGAGTGCTTGACTGGTAGCTTGAGGCCCAAGGCTCAGTCCCAGTGCTTGAGCGCGTGCGTGCACACACACACACGAGATGTCCTTTCCCCAGATTTTGGGGCAAACTGAGGTAGGGACATTTTGACATTCATTCATTCAACAAATACTTCCTAGTGTTTTGATGAACAAAAGTCTATATTATAAGTATGACTTGGTCTTACCTGTCTTTTGTACTCTGACTCCACCTTGTCCTAGTCTCTCGAGAATTCTCCTATAACTCATGTCTTGGATGTTGATCATCCCTTTTGGGCCCACTTTTCTCCTCTTCCCAAATAGTGTCATCCATTCTGTTATCCTTGATTGCTGTTGATATGCTGGTGATTTCCAAATATATAACTCCAATTCCAACTCCCCCATTCTTTATATCTATGTTCTTATTACCCACTGGACATCTCCACATACACGCCCATATGGCCTCAATTAATGTCCCCAGCCAAGGACTGTTCCTCATGAATTCCTATCCTGGTGACCTTCATCACAATAATAGGGTCACCAACTAGAAACATTTATGGGCTTAAATTTCTTTTTCCCGAATCTTATTAGTCAGCATATCACATCCTTTCTGCTCCAACAGTCTTTCCAAAATTTAGCTGTTCCTCTCCCCTTTACTTCTTAATTTACCAGAGCATGGGATTTGGAGTCAGGCTGGTTTGGGTTTGAATTCCAGCTCTACTATTTTTGGTTGTGTAATAGGTTGTATAATTTAACCTCTCTGGAACCTCAGTTCACCATATGTAAAATGATGATGATAATAATACCTACCTCACAGGGTTGTTGTGAGGATTTAAATTAGATATTGTACGAAAAGTGCCTAGCACAGTGCTGGGCACACAATAGAGTAGGTGCTAAATAAATGGTAGCTATGGTTGTTATCCTTATTATAATTTACTCTAAATTGGCAAGCATTTGGTGTATTTGAAAGATAAGGCTTCTTTTGCAAATGTAGACATGAAGTCCAGATGCTAGTTCAAAGGTTAGAGGTATCTGTTTTTTGGTAACTGAATGATGTCACAATGTGATGATTTGAGGAATGTCATGTCTTCATTCTGCTACATCCTGGCTTCTGGAAGGTGAATGCTAAGTACAGTAAGGTTAACAACCAAGTTCCCACCCAACCCCCTTTTATTTTTTCTTTCTGGCCTGCCTACAGAAAGAGAAGAATCATATTTTCAGATTCTGTAAGAACCAGTTTTGAGTTCAAGGGTTGGTTCTGCCTCATTCCCTCAGTTTGGATGTGAAAAGTTATTTATTCCATCGGAGGGGATTTTAAAATTCCATATGCAACTAAATTCGGTCATTCTCTTCTTTTTTTTTTTTTTTTTAAAAGAAAGGCTATTTTTATTAAAAAGGGGGAAAAAAACCCCAACAAAACCTGGGTTCTGGGAACAGGGTTAGTACGTTCGTACCTTCAATGGTGTTGACCTTGTCCTTCTCAATGATGTCTACAATGATGCATGCCTGACACTGCATCCTGGTCCACAGCATTCAGCATGGCGTGGGAGATTTCAAATAGGTGTTCTGGATCTATGTTGGGCTTCCACAGAGATTCATAACATCCCATACATTTGTTCAGGGCAGGTTAAATTCAGCCATTTTCCAAGAAACAGCTGCCTGTGACTAGAATGCACACACAATCACAGGTATAGCTGAGGAGAACATTGATTAGTTTCTACCAAGAATTTGCCTCTCTGCAGCCCTTTTCTTTGGATATTAATCCCTGGGAAAGGGTTTGTGTCTGGAACAAATAGAAGACCTTGGGAGAATCAAAGGGATTAAAGAGCAGTAAATTCAGCACTAACCGACTTTTGTCAAGTTGTGTGTTTTTAAAGTAATGATATCCAGTTATCGGATTCTGGAGACCAAAAAAAAGGCCTAAAGGTTTCAAAAACAAGTTTGAAACAATCTCTGAAGCCTTCCAAAACATCGAACTAGGAACAGGAGAGATTGCAGAGACTACATTTCCCGTGATGCTCAGTGAAAACGATGAATGGGTGGGATGACCTGTGCCGGGATGCGTATTGCCAGCAAGGCGCGCTAAGGCCATGCCTGGTCCGGCTCGCTCGCGCTCTGCCCCACCCCCCTTCTCGAAGGGAGTCGGTAGTTGTAGTTTTGCTAAATTCTGGGACGCTCTGATTTGTCAGCATGAAAGTCGCGGGGACCGACGGGACTTGTAGTCGACGCTGAAGCCGAGCGCGCAGGCGCAGCTGGGATCCGGGCGGGGCCGCGGCACTGCGGTGAAAGCCGAGGCAGCGGACTGGCGAGCTGGGGGCGGGCGGACATCTTGGGATCCGAGAGTGGCCAGGCCGGCTGACTGGGGGCTGCTGACTCCAGGTGAGCTGGGAAGCTGAACTTACGGGTCTTTGCGGGACCGGAGAGGGAACCGTGTGCCCCGCCGCCCAGCCTTGCTTTTCCCTGCAGTGCACTGGGCCGAAAGCTGCCCACACCTGGGAGTGGTCTCAACCTTCAGACCCGGGAGGGAGCAGACAACCGGGCGGGGGTGCCTCGGGAGCGATTGCAGGACGGGCGGGGAGCGACGCCCTCCATCTGAGCCGCCGGGCGTCTCCTGAGACTCCCTAGAGCTGGGACGCCGCCCCCCCCCCCCCCCC